CTAATGACACTACGAATTATGCGACTGCGTCTTCTCCTGAGTAGCTACTTTTGGCGACAAAACAAACTTATTCGATATACATTTAAATTCTCGAAGCATATTGAGCAATTTCAATAAATTTAATTCATTGCTGAGAATCTTAATATGCCGTTCTCTGTGGTTGCTTTGTCAGAAACTTGACTAACTGATTGCACTGCAGAGTTCGTAAACATTACAGGATACAATTTTGTCTCCAACTATCGTAAATAGAAAACAGGGGGCGGAGTTGGAATTTCTTTTACCAAACGGCCTTGAATACAAGCTTCTCGATGCGAAGAATGCAAATTCTCAGATGCAGATGTAATCGAGTCACTTTTATGGGAGATTATCGTTCCTTGAGGAAAAAAAGAAAAAACATTGTCGGTCGCGTGTACAGACCACCAAGTCAAAACACTGCCAAATTTATTGACAAATTCAACAGTATTCTCTCACTATTTTCTGAAGGCAATAAACAGACCTTCTCCAATACAATCATCATGTTCCAACAAAGGAATTTAGTGACAGCTTATTTCACACGCCTTTCTTCCTCTCATCTCCACTCCAAAATGGTAGAGTGGTCCAAAATATCTTTGTGACGGATTGAGAGGTAAATACGGTATAGAAGACGATAAAAGTTAAGGGTCAGATAGGGCACGTGTACTTCTGTTGAAAACTTGTATATCGTGAGAAATCTCATTTAAAGTTTCCTTTAAAAGGACATGTAACTCACCTCACAAGTCCTTGAACACTGGTTAAGCATTGTGGCGCTCATTCCACAGGTAACAAACAACAATACCAACAATAACAACAACACCCTAATGACACGTTCAAAATTACTGTAAAGCCTTAATTTACCAACATAATCTGCCATTTAGAATAAGGCATTGTTCACTCGAGTCTGGAAGGTCTCTGCTTGTGTTGACTCTCGTGGATGAAGTTTTACAGAAACTAATTTTGGAAAGTTCTTCCGGCCGACATCTATTCAGCTTTGCAGACTATGTTATGATAAGGGCTAACGCTCGAAACGTCAGCTTTTGTAATCATTACGGTGGCCAATTTACCATTTCAACTTTGTTGATATATCCAAATTATTTCGTTACTCCCACCGACGCAGCCCCAAACAGTTTCTTTCGAAACTATCAGCCTTTATTCATTTGTATTTTGATTGCTGCGACTACTAACTTTTGTCTTAGCATTTTTCAATCCACAGCATTCAGAACAGCGGACCATGCCAAGCCTCAAGAAACTCACAAAGGAGCTNATTGACACAGTCAAATGCTTTGCTAAAATCCATTGCAAACACTCGGACGGCTTTGCAGTCTTGCTCGTCTAAATAGCTGTAGATGATATGCTGCATGCTCAAGAGCGCATCAGTGCAAGTCACCCCTGTCTTATAAGCAAGCTGTGTTGAACTCAGATGCTGTTCGACAATGTCTCGTGCATGGGTGTTATACACAGATTTCTCGAACGCACGTGCAATTACAGGCGTGATCTTAATTCCTCTGAAATCCTGCTTGCCCTTAGGGATGTCAACCTTAGGGAGGGGGGTCACTTGGGCCCTTTTCCACAAGGAGGGCCACTTGCCAGTATTGAAGGAAACATTCCAGATCTTATGAATGACACTTGTGAAGATCTCAGCGTGATCCCTCCAAATCCAAAAGGGAATGAGATCTGGTCCTATAGCGGTTTTCTTCAGATGTTGAAAAGAATTCCACACGTGTCTTTCTGATATCTGAGGGGCTTCTAAGTTTTTATCCACAATAGCTGTTACAGGCTTCGTATATGCGTCACCAGTGCACAAATCGGCGAAGTAGCCGTTTAGCTCCTCTAGTGATTTAGTGTCCAATGTAACATTAGCAGAAATGCTGCGTCGTTGGGACAAATTATGTACGTGCTTCCACCATTCTCTGGATCCGACAGGTGCCTTTGCGAGTGTTCTTCTGTTCTTACTAATCAATTCGCTTATTTTCTTGTTAACCTCAGCCAACCGATCTTTAGTGCTTTGAGCTATTCTTGACCTTACCATCATTAACGATTTTACTAAGGGTGTCTTCCACACTGGATCTCGTATTGACATGCGCACCGATCGTAACGGCATACATTCATCCATGTGATGTTTAATTTTTGCTTCTAAATTATTCACTGCCTCCTCGACATCATTGAAGTTTAAGACACTGTCCCAATTCTCACTTGCTAGTTTTAAGTACAATCCCTCCTTACGGTGTCTTCTACAATCCCTAATGCGAACGTTTTGTCTGATTGGCTTTAATTTCGTTCCTGCTGGTAAAAATGACCGCTGTGTGATCTGTTTTTATAGACACAAAGTATGGAGTGCTCTTTGCAAATAAAACCGGCCGGTTTGTAAAGACCTTGTCCAAATACGCATCACCCCTTGTTATTACGTAGTTAGTTAAAAAGACACTGAGTGAGCAGGTTGAAGGAAAGGATATAGCAAGTGGTGTGCCTTTCAATTAAGGTATACTTGATGGAAAGCAGTGGAAAAAATTAATAAACGAACAGCAAGTAAATGTCGATATGGTAGATTTCATAAATTTCAATACATTATGAGTAAC